ATGCATTAAGCATTTAAGCACGTTGTGTGTTTGTTCACCATTTGTTTATCTTATTAATAGCAGCTGATGCAATCATTGTAATAGGTGGTATTATGGTATTGTTGAAATAATAGATTTTACAAGTATGACCTCAAGGCAACAGGAGGGGCGGTGGGGTAGCCTAGTGGTTAAAGTGTTCACTCGCCATGCCAAAGAATGGTCTCGATTCCCCACATGAGTACAATGTGTGAAGCCCATTTCTTGCGTCCCCTGTCGTGATATTGCTGGAGTATTTCTAAAAGCGGTGTAAAGCCATACTCACTCAGGCACCGGGAACTTACTTCAACCATGACATTGCCACTAAGATACAACAATTTCCTAACCATGCCTTAGATGTTAATGATCAAACATTATGTATCATTAGTTAATTTTTATGTCAACAGGAACAGAATGTCTGTGCTACTGGTGCTGACATAGAAGAGGCTACCTTGACTGAGCTCAGGTCCAGTGATGCTGCCTGCCAAGCAATGCCAACAACGAAGCATGAGTCCAATCAGACTGAGTTTGTGTGTTCCAGCATTCTGGTATCTAAAATTTATGAAAAGATGACAGCACAAGTCCCTGATTCAGATTGTGAAATAAGCAGGGATCTTGACAACAAAAGCTGTGATTTACTATTTAATAATTTGGTATCTAATAAGAAGAAATTCAAGTACTATACTGGCATGAAAACTGTTCATTTTAATCATCTTTTTGCTTCCCTTGGTGACAGTGTAAATGACATCTGTTACTGGCGTGGAAATAAGATAAGTTCCAGTAAACCTGGCAAGTGCCGGGTTTTATCAATCAAAGACCAGCTTGTTTTGACACTTGTCAGATTAAGGAGAAACTTTCCAACAAAAGATTTATCCTATAGATATAACATCAGTGTCGGTTCTGTTTCCTGTATCATTACCACTTGGATTCAGTTTCTGTACATGAAATTTATTACTTTGAAAGATCACATCTTTCCTTCTAGACATCTTATCAGGAAAACATTGCCATCTGTGTTTAAAAGCTTCAAAAACATCAGAGTTATTGTTGATTGTTTCGAAGTGTTTTCTGAGCGACCAAGTGATTATGGTGAGCAAGGTAACATGTACTCTCAGTACAAAACTCACAACACCTTGAAAGTTTTACTTGGTATTTCTCCAACTGGTGCTGTTACATTTTTGTCTGATGCATATGAAGGTAGCATATCAGACAGAGATATTATCAGGAAATCAGGCTTTCTGGAAAAAATTAACCCAGGTGATTTGATCTTAGCCGATAGAGGCTTCAATATCAAAGATCTCCTCATGAGCCGTAGAGCACACTTGAATATTCCTCCATTTCTAGGCAAAAGGGACAAGCTGACTCCTCAAGAAGATATCTTGACTCGATCTATTGCTAGAACAAGAATACATGTGGAGAGATCAGTGGGAAGGTTGAGGGAGTATCGTATATTAAACACAGTTATTCCTCTTTCAATGAAACACTTAGCGTCCCAGATAGTTTTTGTTATAGGAATGCTTTCCAACTATCAGCCACCACTTGTTAAATAGGGCATGAGCCCATTACCATGATTGAATTTATAATACATGTGATAGGAGGTACGATAATTCTAGTCCGAGTAGTTGTCGTTATCGGCTGATTATTTTTCAATATCTCATAAATACTACTTTTTTTTTACAATAAAAAGCGCACTAAAACATGTACATCATGAACCAAGTCATCACTCAGCATCTATCGCCAGGTTCCATTTGCGATGCCATATATCGGTGATCAATCATGACTTGTCACTACCTGCAGCAAGAAATAATAACAAAGAGTAATATTGCGCGTCAAATTTTTATTGACACCTCATGTATATGTCCACGGCTCATGTATATGTCCACGGCTGGCGCTGGTGAACAATTTTAGACTCATGTCTGTTTCAGTTTTCACTGCGTCCTTATCAAATAGCTACTAATTAGTTAATCAGTTTTATTTTTGTGAATGTAGATGTTTGAATCATTCACAATTGTGATCTGTTCTGTGTCATAATGTTCATACATATTATCCCAGAAAATCGTTTTTGGAATCATGCTAAACTTTCTTCAAAGACATGCAGCCATCATCATATGAGCTTTGAACCACTTTAATATTTAACAGCATTGTTGGCTGTAGTACTTCACCTGTGTTATTACATGTCCCTGAAGGTGAGATGTATCGTCATAACTGTTATTAGAATACAAGGTATTACAATTATTTCACTGTTTATCAAGGTATTTTTCCCAACAACTGCAGCATGTATTGGAATGATCATTTGAACATGGTATTGTTGTACAAATTGATATGTCTGTCCTGGGAACAGGCCTGAAACATTGACCCAGTCTCCGTATAGGAGGTATGCACACTTTTGTACAGCGTGAATAATTGACATGTCAAGACTACAAGAGTAAACATTACGGAGGTATCACTCAGCGAGAAGTATGATTCGTGGTTATATTAAAAAAACTACACACTCACAACCATTGTTTCAATTGTAACAGTATCTGCATGTCTCCACTGATCTAGTTTATGATAAAATAATATTCCAACAATGTAACTATTACTTTGAAAATAGTAATAATGAAAAATATTAATAACATTACCGCTGTAGATATGCAAAACATTTTTATGCCTTTCAGCCCAACCATTTTGTCACCGCCATAATTGTTTGTTAAACTCTAAACAATGAAAAATATGTTCTGATTGTGTCAACTTAGTACTTCTTGTTCCTTGAAAACAATAAATGTTTCAGGAAGTCATTACTGGTTTTGTTTTCATGATATGATTGTTTCTATTACATATTATGTATTTTAAACTCAAATGTGTCCTTTTCTCCTTCCTGATTCTGAAGGTACCACATGCAATTTTGAATCTTCGTTACATATGTACGATTTATGACAGTACATGTACTTGCATCAGTAAGTAGTTATGCGACAAAATCTCTTCATGCTGTGTTGATCAAAGTTAACTTGTATCCACATTTGTGAAATACTTAGTCCATGAAGTATAAAAATAATTACAAATGACAGTACTTCACATTTTTGGTAATTTACATGGTTGTAAATCGAGGCAAATAAACACTGCGGAAATCTAAAATTAGTGTTTTTTAGTTATCAAATGTATTCGTAAGAACATAACTTGAATACAGTTAGTTGCTTTGCTAAAGCTGTACACCATGCATACTAGTTATTAACTTTCATCATTCTCACATTGCATATGTACAATTAGAAGTGAAAAAATGTTGAAATGTTTACTAGCTTGAATAATGAGAACAAGTACTAGTCCTCACCATACTAACTGGAAGCAAAGGTGTTTCACTTTCTTTATGAATGCAGCACAAGAAAAATATTCACCATAAGTGTGGTACGATATGGAGCTCACCTAGTATAATGTCAAGTTTACACATGAAGTATATTGTACTAATAATCATGACAACCTCACAGGGATACACTGTACAGTGTATTCAAAAAAAGCTGAATTATACACAGGGATGTGAGCAGGTTTTCCCAAAAGAGGAAAATTCTAGGGGGGTCTGGGGGCATCCCCCCCCCCCCCCCAGAAAATTTTTAAACATTTGATTGCATTTTAAGCAATTTCGTGCAGTTTGGACAACATTCACACCAAGAAATGTAAAAAGTCAATGGCAAAAGTCAATAAGTCAAATAAACAAGACGGCAGATGCAGTAAAATTTCGAAATAATACATCATGTGATTCAGTTCTATGATCAAAGAAATGTTGAAGTGAATAAATGTAACACACTGACCATTAACTTCTGTGTCTTGTTTTTTATGGACATTCACTCATGTTACATGTTTGTTATGCTTACTTGGACAGATCAAAGGGAAGTAGCTTTCTTGGTACTCTCATTTCAAATATCTCAGGAACTAGAATATTTTTGTAAAATATTTTCAAGAGGCGGTATGTCTGTTCCCAAAATAATTTATTGAAGGGTATTCTTTCTACTGACATACCCTCAGGCGACCATATTACAAAGTCACAAAAAGATTTTTCACAGATGGCCATTTGCATTTGACATTGGAAATAATATTTATGATTCCTTTTCAATTTCAGTCTGCCATTTTCGAAAGTGCTGCAAAATGAATAGTATTGCTTCTTTGTAAGTTTTTCTTTTGCCTCAGTTGGATTAATGTTTTCAAGTACTGATGGGCACTTAATTTCTAAAACACCATCAGCCACATCTGTACTGAGAGACTGTAAGATGCCATCAGGGCTACATCCTAGTTCAGGATACTTCGAATTTATCCAGAAACCACTTGCAAGGCAGGTAAATGTTTCTACATATTTTAATGAATAGTCTTCAAAGGCTTTTTTTTCATTATGTGATCCATACCTCATGTCAACAGTATTAAAACAATCAATACCCCATACATGTGATGATAACAAGCGATATCTACCTCGATCTGTGGATACCATAGAACAGTCTTTACAAATAGATGCTGTCACTCTGTACCACCTGGCATTATGCCACTGATCAGAAATTGCTTGACCCACAGTACCAGGTACTTCACAAGGGCCAACTCCATACTCTGAAATACTTTCTTTCACATTTTCAATGAAAACATCACATTTATCCATGAGATATAACTTCAAGTCATTAGACAATTCATAATCATCATAAGTAATTTCTAGGATACTCTGCCATGAAGTATTTGTATCCAAGGCAAGTGCAGTAGAAATGAAAGCAGTTGCAAAACTACTGTCAGCTCTGTGAGACTGATCTACAACAGGACATGGGTCATGATCAATAACACGGTTAGGAGCTCTCTTTTTGCTGTACTGCAAAGTGTGGGCAGGTTGTGGGTTTCTAGTTTTGTTTCGGGGTTTATTCCAGGAACAAGAGAAAGAAGTACATGAGGGTGCTGTATAGCCAAAGTTGACAGTATAATCCTCTAATGCAAACAACAATCCTGCAATGTGGCTACAACGTCCAGTGGCTGAACCTACACAATCACATTGATGCATCCTGGATGACTGCAAAATTATCAAGAGTAACATGTACATGGTACATCATACCTAGTCTGTATGATGGAAGACATTCACATTTAAGATAATAATACTCATTTTTAGAACATGTTTGAATATTTTGTATGTGGCCACTCTTAAAAAAAGCTCGTCCCTTCTTCATTGGCTTTGCAGTGCTGAAGGTGTTGTCCTGATCATCATCATCACTGTCATTGATAGGAGTGACTTGTGGTAGAGGCTGTAGTCTGGCTGATGCAATGATATACTGGTATATATCGCCATATGAGAAGGTTGGTGGGATGTTGCCAGAAGGGAAGGCCTTCCATCCAGTGATAGGTGGTGTGGGAGGTTGCCTCACAGCCGAACACGGACTTGAACTGTAAAACAAAGAGAAAATAGTGCAATACACAATCATGACACATGTATCTATTTGGCTATATAATTCATGCACCATTGCAACATATTATTTTAACATGCAACCTAATATTGATGTCAAAATGCACTACCGTATTCGACGTAATAAGCGCCCAGGGCGCTCTCAAAATTAGGAATAGGGGGCTGTTATTAAAATATTATTTTGGTGAAAAAAAAACAGTTGAAAGATAAATTTCGTGGTTTATGCTGACAGGCTGAAATGTTTATGTACGACAGATATATTTTTCCAGAATTAAATTGCCCATAATTAAGGGTCCATATAACACACGAGTGTGTATTATACGCGAATAAATAAGTCTTGTGTACATTGATCAGTTGGAAGGGGTTCTAATTGGGATTGTTCACTTGCCAATATATTAGCAAATATCGCCGTGGGCGCTTATTGGAGCGGGGCGCTTATTACGTCGAATACGGTAAATGCATGTAAAATTCCAAATTTGTGTGTCTATAAGTCTAACCCTTGTGTATCCACACATCAATCTTGGATCACATTCAATACCTGTACAGTTTATTTACCATACTACATAACTAATCTGTGTTATTTGTAATTTGTCATGATTTCGTGGGCTTGACATTGTCACATTGTGGGTACTTCTAGATTGTGTGCAAATGTTCCTATTACGTTTCACAGCAATAATCCAAAAATAAACAAGACACGGGCAGCAGACCAGCCTGTTTCAACTTTGATATATTTATTGGACCAGGGGACAAGCTGATTTTGTTTGTTGCAACTGGGTTTTCATGTCAACATGCACCTGGTGCAAGTATAATCAACTTCCTTAAAACCGAGCTATGTGACATTGTAATCACATATATGTGATGCAAGTATTATCTTTCTTAAGGGACCAATTATTTGATTTAATTTGCGGGTGGGGTGGGGGTGGGTTCCTGGGATTTCATGACAGAAGACCCAAAGGACATTGTTTTCACAACGCCAATATTAAGACATGAAGCTTTTGAAAATTAAAATATTACGAACATTTTTATGTCAACCTGATGGAAAAATATTTTCGGATTCCTGTAACAAATTCTTTTATGAGTTGATTAATTCAATTACAAATGTATTTAAGTGATTAATATAATTTTCTCAAAATAAATATGCTGTGAACAGTAATGGAAATTCCCTTACATTTTCTTTTTGGGTACTTTTTAAATGATGTTCCATTACAAATGTTGTTCACAATATTAAATCCATTTGACAAAAGTTAACAGAATTCAATGCCATTTCAATCCAGAAATGGAAATGCATCAATAATATTTCAACCCATTCTTACGCAGTCTTTGCATTTGGTCAAAGATAAAATCTGGAATTGAAACCTCATAGTTACCTGTTAAGAGATGCCAAAACATCTTGAACCTTTATTTGGTACCATTTCCCATTATCAATGGAAATGGCAATGTTCGTGTTCTGCTGAGCTGTGATGCACTCTTGACATCTGTGTGAAAACAATGGATAAACATCAGTTATGTTACAATTTCAGATATTGATTAATGAGTAGATGAATTCAGTTTCCAACCCCTGAGCATACTAGTAAATGATTGCATGATTACTTTCCATCTATATTATTACTAGTAATATTAGTCCAATCACTTTAATCATTGTTATTGGGTAATCATGATAATAGGATCAAGTTTTTTGCAGAGTATAGTAATATACATACTTTCTTTTTTTAAATAGCAATTTCATGAAGAATACTGACAAGATCAATCACCCCTTTAGGATCATTAGGGTTAGGTACCCGTTTTATTTCGAAAATGCCGAAATGCTCTTACTCGTGACCTGAAGCAATGGTGTCATATACTGAACCAGTTGTCATTTTGAAGTAATAATTATGCATATAAGTAAATAAATTAATTGTATACTTATGTTCACATAGCCCAAGTGTGTGAAGAAAAACACTACATAGAGATGAAAATGGCTATAAATTATATATTTTCGCGTGGAAATTTTCGTTGTGTGGGATTATTTATGCCTTAAAAAATCTGGAAAATAATAGTAATAATAACAAAAACGTTTGCATGTGTAAACAGAATCATTGACAGAGGTACATATAGTATTGGGGCTGCCAGACCAGGTTGTGGTCATCATGTGAGTATAATAAAAATAATATAGTAATTACCGGATTATAGCCCAAGCTGTTAGATTAGAAGGGTCATGGACGCATTAGGCCTAAGTGTCCATGAAATGGTGAAAACTGGAACAGTTATTGCCCTTTTTCAGACGAACGTTTAGTGCCCGAATTCTCTCATCCAGGCAAATGTCATGCTGATAACGAATACGACAGATTTCTATTATTCCCACATACATTTATGGAGTTGAAACACACAAATGTATTTCAGTATTATCCGTTATTAGCATAAACAAATATTACGGAAATCACTTCCGGTTTGGATTTTGATATGACGTCTGTCTCGTAAGTTATATGCACATCGGGTTAATCATCAGAGTACCGTAATACCATTGTAATAACAATCACGGCACGATACCTTTACCAAGATATATATTTCATAGATTCTCATAACTTACATATACTATTTTTAACGAAAACCAATAAATAAGACGACTTACCTTTCGACGAGTTCGGTCTTCCTTCCTGTCATCGGCAGGCCTCGGCACTCCAACCACCGTTTCAGCTGAACAACTGAATGTCTGTCGACGTCTGGATAAATAAACTGAGCTCCAGGGACATCTTCAGGCAGCAGAGACACGTTAAACAAAGGCGATGTAGAAGCCATGTTAATATCATATGGGGAAGGCTCATGCCACTGATCGGCACATGTGCCAGTAAAAAGTGCCAGTGAGCTGACCCACATCTCTGTGTTATTGTTTATATCCCCTTTCAGCAACAGCTGTGTTGTGGCGAGACTGTCCCTATCTGATGGAACCCGGGGTCAGGAGACATAGACTTACACAGGCTTTTCCCAAAGCATTGATAACATTTTTGTGTCTTATTATAGTACTTATTCACATATCTTATACTTATTCACATGTTACATTATTTGTCTAGTGCATACTAGGTAGTATATAACACCCTGTTCATATAATATTCTTGTTTCGAAAGTAAATACCGTGAGAGGAGTTTGACCAAGAAAGTCTATACTTTGGGGGTTTATAGTTAAATTGAACTCTTTTAAAATATTGTCCAAACAGTTAAGAGCTCCTGAATAATGTTTCCTTTAATTTCCCCACCACCAACCAGGGTATGAAACTCCCAAAAATTTCAGCCAGACCACAGGACTGGCTAGCAGAAATACTTGCCAGCCCTGACCAAAACCTGCCTGCCCACTATAATCATATGTTTCTCAGGATAGTTTAATTAAAAATATCAAAACTGATTGCTTGTAGCATAAGCGCATCGCTAAATGTTAGGTTGGCTAAAAGCTAACGGGGTTTCTTTTTGGTTACATTTTATCATTCATCTTTACATGTGAATTAATGCTTATCATCGGGAATTATTTAGAATATTTTCACCTATAAAATAAAACCCGACCGTCGGGCAGGGGGATTTGAAAATCTGACAGTACGGGTTAAAATCAACCAGTCTCGGACGGTCGGGCAGGCAGGTATTTCGAACGCTGCACCAACCCCTCCAGCCACCTATATTTAGGTACATTTTAGTTCACTGTTCTGTTTCAGCATGCATGTTCCAGTGTTTTTCTATTGAATTCAATTATGCGTTTTTATTCTATTTCTCCAGTCTGGGTCATCTTAAATAAGAACCCCTCTCCGCCGCCTGCTCAACGCCATTCTCCCGTCAACACGTCAAGGCCAAATGATGACAGCACTTTTGTAATCTGATACGACATCTCCAAATAAACTGCAGCGCGGCCCCGGAACAAATCCCTTCAGTGAAGGTTCACATGAACAAATCTCCCACCTCCTAACTGATAAAGACGAGGACGGCTGGATAATTAATCTGCAAGCTGTTTGTAACAGACGACACGTTCTTTACTTCCGGCTGGGAATGCATTTATATTATACAATATCATCTTCAATTAGTTCCAACTATTTTATCATCAAGCGTGTCAAATAGGTAAAGTAGCCATATAGATAGTAAAGATATATATCAGTATGTTCTTGTGTTATAATGCATTTTTTTTTCATCAAATAATCTTATAAAGCAACTGAGCATACATCGCGTGAAGCTACTATATATAATATGATTCATATGATCAGTAGTTTGACCTTTGTGTAGTTCTTTTGTATGCCCGTCCTTTGCAAATGTTATGTAATGTTACCAATGATCAAAGTTTCATCGGAAACGAAATAAGAAACATGGCTGCAACATTACCATAAAATCTAAGTTAAATACAACACATTGGTAAAGAAAGGGTAAACTAGATTATCTTAGTAGTAAAGTCAAGGGAATTACAGTCACATCATATGCTTCTTCTGCATAACTCCCAACCTGTAAAATTGTTGGTAAATCATTTCGATCTACAACCTCTCTCGTTAACTTTTAACTCACTCACTCGGGAACTATATGTCTTCCCTTTAACATAGGGTTTTCTCTATCCAAACGTCACTATGGAAATAGCCTGAAAATTTCGTAGCACATCTGGAAGCCTCGCATGAATCGCATGGAAATAGTTTCAAATACAGGTTTGAAATATTATTATCTTTTTACTTAAACATTTAGGCATAAAATGAGGTAAAAGGAGTAGCTCTATATCCTGTCTCGGAAACTATATAGCTTCCCTTTAACACAGGGGTTCGTCTATACAAACGTCCCATTGGAAAAGAGCCTGAAAACTTAGTGGCACATCTGGGAGCCTCGCATGTTTCGCATGGAAATAGTTTAAAATACTTGTTTGAAATATTATTATCTCTTTCCTAAACAATTTAGGCATAAAATAACTTTAAAACAGTCGCTCTATACCCCCTTTTGGAAACTATATTGCTTCCCTTTACCACTAGGGGTTGTCTATGGAAACGTCCGTATGGAAATAGCCTGAAGACTTAGTGGCACATCTGGGAGCCTCGCATTTTTCGCATGGAAATAGTTTAAAATACGGGTTTGAAATATTATTATCTCTTTCCTTAACCATTTAGGCATACAATAACTTGAAAACAGTCGCTCTATATCCCCTTTTGGAAACTTTATAGCTTCCCTTTAACACAGAGGGTCGTCTATTACAAACGTCCGAATGGAATTAGCCTGAAAACTTAGTGGCACATCTGGGAGCCTCGCATGTTTCGCATGGAAATAGTTTGAAAAAAGTGTTTGAAATATTATTTTCTCTTTTCTGAACAACTGAGGCATAAAATAACTCTAAAACAGACCCTCTATACCCCCATTTGGAAACAATATTGCTTCTCTTTAACACAGGGCGTTGTCTATGCAAACGTCCCTATGGAAAAAGCCTGAAAACTTAGTGGCACATCTGGGAGCCTCGCATTTTTCGCATGGAAATAGTTTAATATACGGGTTTAAAATATTATTATATCTTTACTTCACCATTTAGGCATAAAATGAAGTAAAAGGTGTAGCTCTATATCCTGTCTCGGAAACTATATCGCTTCTCTTTAACACAGGGGGTCGTCTACAAACGTCCGAATGGAAATAGCCTGAAAACTTAGTGGCACATCTGGGAGCCTCGCATTTTTCGCATGGAAATAGTTTAAAATACGGGTTTGAAATATTATTATCTCTTTCCTTAACCATTTAGGCATTAAATAACTTTAAAACAGTCGCTCTATATCCTTTCTTGGAAACTATATAGCTTCCCTTTACTACAAGGGGTCGTCTATACAAACGTCCCTATGGATATAGCCTGAAAACTTAGTGGCACATCTGGGAGCCTCGCATTTTTCGCATGGAAATAGTTTAAAATACGGGTTTGAAATATTATTATCTCTTTCCTTAACCATTTAGGCATTAAATAACTTTAAAACAGTCGCTCTATACCACCTGGTGAAAACTATATAGCTTCCCTTTACCACGGGGGGTTGTCTATACAAACGTCCGAATGGAAATAGCCTGAAAACTTAGTGGCACATCTGGGAGCCTCGCATTTTTCGCATGGAAATAGTTTAAAATACGGGTTTGAAATATTATTATCTCTTTCCTTAACCATTTAGGCATTAAATAACTTTAAAACAGTCGCTCTATATCCTTTCTTGGAAACTATATAGCTTCCCTTTACTACAAGGGGTCGTCTATACAAACGTCCCTATGGATATAGCCTGAAAACTTAGTGGCACATCTGGGAGCCTCGCATTTTTCGCATGGAAATAGTTTAAAATACGGGTTTGAAATATTATTATCTCTTTCCTTAACCATTTAGGCATTAAATAACTTTAAAACAGTCGCTCTATATCCTTTCTTGGAAACTATATAGCTTCCCTTTACTACAAGGGGTCGTCTATACAAACGTCCCTATGGATATAGCCTGAAAACTTAGTGGCACATCTGGGAGCCTCGCATTTTTCGCATGGAAATAGTTTAAAATACGGGTTTGAAATATTATTATCTCTTTCCTTAACCATTTAGGCATTAAATAACTTTAAAACAGTCGCTCTATACCACCTGGTGAAAACTATATAGCTTCCCTTTACCACGGGGGGTTGTCTATACAAACGTCCGAATGGAAATAGCCTGAAAACTTAGTGGCACATCTGGGAGCCTCGCATTTTTCGCATGGAAATAGTTTAAAATACGGGTTTGAAATATTATTATCTCTTTCCTTAACCATTTAGGCATTAAATAACTTTAAAACAGTCGCTCTATATCCTTTCTTGGAAACTATATAGCTTCCCTTTACTACAAGGGGTCGTCTATACAAACGTCCCTATGGATATAGCCTGAAAACTTAGTGGCACATCTGGGAGCCACGCATTTTTCGCATGGAAATAGTTTAAAATACGGGTTTGAAATATTATTATCTCTTTCCTTAACCATTTAGGCATTAAATAACTTTAAAACAGTCGCTCTATATCCTTTCTTGGAAACTATATAGCTTCCCTTTACTACAAGGGGTCGTCTATACAAACGTCCCTATGGATATAGCCTGAAAACTTAGTGGCACATCTGGGAGCCTCGCATTTTTCGCATGGAAATAGTTTAAAATACGGGTTTGAAATATTATTATCTCTTTCCTTAACCATTTAGGCATTAAATAACTTTAAAACAGTCGCTCTATATCCTTTCTTGGAAACTATATAGCTTCCCTTTACTACAAGGGGTCGTCTATACAAACGTCCCTATGGATATAGCCTGAAAACTTAGTGGCACATCTGGGAGCCTCGCATTTTTCGCATGGAAATAGTTTAAAATACGGGTTTGAAATATTATTATCTCTTTCCTTAACCATTTAGGCATTAAATAACTTTAAAACAGTCGCTCTATACCACCTGGTGAAAACTATATAGCTTCCCTTTACCACGGGGGGTTGTCTATACAAACGTCCGAATGGAAATAGCCTGAAAACTTAGTGGCACATCTGGGAGCCTCGCATTTTTCGCATGGAAATAGTTTAAAATACGGGTTTGAAATATTATTATCTCTTTCCTTAACCATTTAGGCATTAAATAACTTTAAAACAGTCGCTCTATATCCTTTCTTGGAAACTATATAGCTTCCCTTTACTACAAGGGGTCGTCTATACAAACGTCCCTATGGATATAGCCTGAAAACTTAGTGGCACATCTGGGAGCCTCGCATTTTTCGCATGGAAATAGTTTAAAATACGGGTTTGAAATATTATTATCTCTTTCCTTAACCATTTAGGCATTAAATAACTTTAAAACAGTCGCTCTATATCCTTTCTTGGAAACTATATAGCTTCCCTTTACTACAAGGGGTCGTCTATACAAACGTCCCTATGGATATAGCCTGAAAACTTAGTGGCACATCTGGGAGCCTCGCAT